GAAAGATAAAGAGAGAAGAGAGAGAAGAGAAAGAGATCACATACTAAAATATTTTCTGTGTAAATAGAAAGCCTAATGTTTTCATAGTTCATGGATCTTCCTCAACTAATAGAAATTATATAATTGATTTTTACTGAAATTAATTATGCCATGGACAAGAGTGGGTAGGAAGAAAGTGGTATTCATAATTTATTATGGTTTTATATTTCTTTTATTCCTAAGAAATTATTAGATCTCTGTCTCACATTTGCTAAAGGAATTCAGAAAACATTATTTCAAATTGTCTATTTAAGGCAAACACCATTAGTTGTCTGCTCTAAATCCATTCTTATTTCTTCCTTGCTAATGGGAGCCTGACCATATAATCCAGCAGTTCCACTTATGGGTGTATATTTGAAGAAAACTAAATCACCATCTTGAAGACTATCTGCACTTTCATGTTCATTGCAGTATTATTCACAATAGCCAAGGTATGGAAACATCTTAGTGTGCATTGATGAATCAATAATTAAAGAAGTTGTGAGATATATAAAATTAACCTATCTAATAAAAGAATAATATGCAAATTGACCATCACTCCAACACACAAGATGGCCACCCCCATATGGACACAAGATGGCCACCACAAGATGGCTGGCAGGGGAGAACAGTTGTGGGCAATCAGGCCAGCAGGGGAGGGCAGTTGAGATGGGTCAGGCCTGCAGGGGAGGACAGTTATGGGCCACCAACCCTGCAGAGGAGGGCAGTTGGGGATGACCAGGCCTGCAGGGAAGGGCAATTAGGGACAACCAGGCCTGCAGGAAAAGGCAATTAGTTTGTCCCAGATTGGAGAGGGTGCAGGCTGGGCTGAGGGACACACACACACACCATGCACGAATTTTGTGCACCGGGCCTCTAGTATATATATATAATTAAGCCGTAAGAAAGAAGTAAATTCTGACATTATGACAGCATGGATGGACCTTGAGGCATTATACTAAGTGAAATGAGTCAGACAGAGAAAGACAAATACTCTACATTCTTACATGTGGAATCTAAAAATATTGAGCTCACCCTAGCCAGTTTGGATGAGTGGATAGAGCATTGGCCTGCGGACTGAAGGGTCCCAGGTTTGATTCTGGTCAAGGGCACATGCCTGAGTTGCAGGCTCGATCCCCAGTAGGGGGTGTGCAGGAGGTAGCCGATCAATGATTCTCTCTCATTATTGATGTTTCTCTCTCTCCCCGTCTCCCTTCCTCTCTGAAATCAATAAGAATATATTTTAAAAATATTGAGCTCATAGAAATAGAATACAATGGTGCTTATCATGGACTGGAGGGGAGGAGATGAGGGATAGGGAGGTGTTGGTCAAAGGATACAAGCTTCCAGATATAAGATTAATAAGTTCTGGGGATCTAATATACAACATGGTGACTAAAATGAAGAATAGTGTATTAAATACTTGAAAGTTGTTAAAAGAATAGACCTTAAATGTTACCACACATACACACAAATTGTAATAATGTGAGAGGACAAAGGTATTAACTAACCTTATTGTGGTAGTCATTTCATAATACATTTGTGTATCAAATAATCACTTTGTACACCTTTAACTTACATAATATATGTCAGTAATACCTCAAAAGGCTGGAAAATCACTAACATACACTCTCCCTCAGTGAATAGGAACAGATATGTACCTCCTCCAGTTGCTAGGGTGGCCATCATCACATGAATAGCATCTTAATTAGGATTTGATGAGGAGCACCTGCCAGTCAGGAATATGACAAGGTTACCTGCTGTCAGTACTACTAGCTAACATTCCCCTGAAGGTATTACTCATTCAATTGGATGAGAGAAAAAAAAATAGAGATCTAAAAACTGGAAAGAATGAGGTAAACTTATGACTACAGATAATATTATTGTATGTCTGGAGAACTCATGAGAATCAAATGACAAAATAAGAAAATAAGTATGTTGCTGAGAAAGAAAATTAAAACATGAATATAAATAATTTATTTAAAGAAAGTTTTATAGTTACAAGAACATAGGTACTATGTTAGACAGAACTAGCAATCAGACAGATAATGCAAGAATGTGGATATTCTCATATGTGAGGTTTATTTTTTTTTAAAATTCACCCATGATTCAGAACAAGATTAATCATCAAGTCTGGGGCATGGCCAAATCCATGGTCCTACCCAGGTTGGTGAACTCAAACTGCGGGATTAGGGAAAATAAGTCACTGGCAGA